TTAATATTTAAATATAATATACTTTAGCGACTGACGGGATTCGAACTTACGATGCTACGGTTACAAGCCGAAAACCTTAGCACCGAGCCACGAACAGTTCTTATTTAAATATAATATACAATAATTAAATATTATAATATTATAATTATATATCTATATTATAAATATTATCTGTTATATTATTAATTATATTATAAATTTATGTATATATATTTTATAATAATTAACATAATTATTACAATATTAACACAATTATTAATGATTATATATTATAATAATTAATACAATATTAACAATACAATATACATGCATTATTATACGCGTTAGTAAGAATATAAAAAAAAAAAATAAAACATTTTCAGAAAAAAAAAGATGATGAAGAAGAAAATAAATTGAGAAATAAGTTCGTAAAAATGAATATCACATTTTTATCGTGTGTTCACTGTAAACGATATAATTTATTATCTTATGCAATAAGTTATTCCGTGTCTCATTGCAAACGTGTAATAACAACATTTCCGTACGACAATGAAAAGAGAGAGAAAGAATACAAGAGAGAATACGAGAGAGAAAGAGAAAACAATGTTTTCGATACACGTATTATGATTAAAAATACTGAAAGAATAAAAAAGCAAAACAAAAACAAAAGGGGGCCAAAAACATTTCCTTACCTTGCAATCAAATCTTCGTTGGTGTCATGTCGATCGTTAAAACCACGAGTCTTCTTTGAACAAATTATTCTTCACCCAAAAAAAAAAAAAAAACAGAAAAGGAAAAGACAAAATCAATATATACACCCTTTTTGTAATAAGAATTATCCTAACAATTGATTTTAACTGACGGATTAATAATACACACAATTATTTAAACAAAAATCACAGTAAATTTACTATTCAAAAGAATTCACTTCCGTTTCATGTTAGAATCAACGAAACAAAAAAAAGGGTTTTAGAAATTTGACAATTTCAAAATACTTTAAAGAAAAACTATTCTCGTAACACACGGAAAATGTTTAAATTTCATTTACAATAAACCAAATTTTAATTTAATGAAAACAATCGAAATGGAAAAAAAAATTGAAAAAAAGACACCTGTCACGTTCTGATCGAGTTTCGTTTATGTTCAATCGTATATCGGGTGTCTTTTACTCTCTATGAATTTATGTGAAAATATGTGTATGCGTGTGTGTAAGAGAGTTTCGAACGTAAAAAAAAAAAAAAAACGTTAACGTAATCCACACAACAAAAGACTCGTAGAAACTGTCGCAGCGCGCGTTTCTGACTGACCAAAGTGCCGCACCAACCAGACAGGTAACGGCTTTCGCTTGAACACGAGCGCGCACTTCGTTACTTTCCGCCCGGTAACTTCCCTTTCGTGATATTTCGTGATATTCCGTAGATACTCGAGTATAATCGGGTACGCTCGAACGAACACTTCGTACGGAGAACGTGTAAGAGATGGTAAAAACAAGTGAGACCGCCAAAGAAGATTATGAAAATAAAAAAAATAAAGAATACAACTAGGAAGGAAATTAGAAATTCACCTAATCGATACGAAAATCATTTGGAGAAAGGAACAATCCTATCATTGTTTAAATTTTAAGTATTTTTGTTTCGTTCGCTGTTTATTTTAGATAAGAGAATGGGGTGGGGGAGGATAATGAAAGTTTTATGATGTTTAGAGAGTTGTTGAATTAAAAAATAATAAAATAATAAAATAATTAATTAATTTAATTTATTATATAAAATATTATATTAAATATATAAATAAATTAAATTTATTAAAAATAATAAAAATTAATTGTTTTATTTAAAAATAATAAAGTAATCTCGTTGAAGATATTAAAATATATATAAATAAATAATTATTACTTTTTCTTTTGACGATAATTGATATTCGGATTTTACGAATTTAAACTTTGTTTGATGCAATAATGTTTTTTTTTGGGGGATGGGGTAAATTAATTATATAATTTAATATTATTGTTAATATGGTAAACTGTTAGGAAAATTTAATAGAGTAAATTTAAGATAAATATAATAATGAGGGTTGCATAATAAAATTATTTGTTTCATAGAAATGTGGATGACTCTTTGATTAGGAAGAAATTATTATAGAAATTTGTTTAATCGATACGAAACATTTTTGGGAAAAGGGTTAATCATCGTTGTGAGGGAGTATTTTCGTGTATTAAAAAGAAAGGGGTTGTAAATGATATAAGTTACTGCAAGGTTTGCCTAAAAATCTTTTGTTTTAATCGAAATTGTTTGAGGAGGACAACTATGATTACGAAGAGATTCAAAATTAGCTGAATCCAATGAAAAAGAGGGGGCCATCTTTCTCGAGAAAAATGCGACAGAATATTTTTGTGTATTCAAAAAAGGAAAAGGGTTGTAAATGATACGTTATTGCAAAAGTTACGTGAAAAACCTTCTACGTTAATTTTCAAATTTTTATGACGATGAAGGGATTTTGAAAATTGTCTAATAAATACAAAAATCTTTGTAATGAAAAATAAATAATAGTTTTAACGAGAAAGTATCTGAAAGATGATCCAGATATAAATTTTACATTAAAAAAAAATTAAATGATTTAGAATTATACCCTAAATTGTATTTAACTATTGACATCAAATAAATATACGAACAGGAAAGGATCAATAACTTTAATTTTATGACGATGAAAAAGAATTTGGAAATTTCCTTAATAAATACAAAAAAGTTTTTGTAAATTATAACAAAAAAGTATTACTGTCTAACCAAAAGGTGATTTAAATATAAGTTTTACGTTAAAGAAACTTAAATCATTTACAA